GCAGAGAAGTAGCTGGGAGCCCCTGTATCAAATTCTTCCTGGAACCCCTACAAGCTCTGAGGGTAACTCTAGGCTACCTTCCACCCCGCTAAATCAAACTCAGATCTTTTGGGAGAGAGGAAGTATTCTTCTTTGAGGCTTTGAGTGCCATCAAGGGGAACTGTCCATGCTCAGGCTCCTGAAAATAACACTCCAATGGAGGAAGCCCCAGAGCCTCAGAGTTCTAGGATGTCATCCCATGAGGTACAGCCATGTACTTCAACATTTCAACAACTTCTAGGAGTATTTATGCTGATAATCATGTTCTTATGCCATATGGATGTGAATCATAGAATACCAAGCTCTGAAAAATTAAAGTTGGGAATCATCTTCAGGGCAATGCAAGGGAATGGTGGACAGTGTGAGCCTAGACCACAGCAAATCACCCATGAAGCACTGTGTAGGAGAAGTGGTTGAAAGGATGGCTTCAGATAAGGGGCAGAGCAGGAGAGCAAGGGGTGATCACTGGACAGCTGGCATGTTCCACTGGTATCCAAATGAGATAACTCTCAAGGAAGGTCAGGTGACCAGAGGAAGTGTGGTATAGTGAATGGAGCACTGGACTTGGCTTCAGGGAGTCCCTGAGGTTCATTTCAGACTCTTACTAGCAATATGACTCTGAGAAAATCATTTGACCTCTCTGAGCCTCAGTCGTCTATTCTGTAAAATGAGGGGGTTGGACTCAATGACTTCTAAGGTTTCTTTGAGCCCTAAGTCTATGTTTAGGTATTTCTTGAATTGGAATGTTAGTCCTGAGAACAGCAGCTATTTACAGAGTCTTGCTCATACCTACTCATTCAATAGACATTTATTAGAAGCTTCAAAGTGCTGTGTGAGGTACCATACCTACAAAGGTAAAAAACCAACACAGTGCCTACCCCCGAGGAGCTTATAGTCTACTGCTGGGAGGACCATGGAATGGACAATGTGTCCATGCTGTCTCCAGCTGTTTGGTTTCTTAAACAAGTAAGTATAATGCAAAGTATAGTGTGATGGGGACAGAGGAGAAGTCCAAACAAAGAGAAAATTGGTGCAGTGAATAGAGCTCTGGGCCTGGAGCCAAAGAGACCTGGGTTCAAATGCTGCCTCTGACACTTACCAGCTATGTGACTTTGGGTGAGCCACTTCACCTCTGTTTGCCTTAGTTTCCTCATCTGTAAAAATGAGGGAGTTGGGCTTGATGACCTCTGAGGTTCCTTCCAGCTCCTGATTAATGTGTTAGGTATGGACAAGAGGCACATAAGATTAGGAGATGTGGATGAATTGTGATCTGGGTCATTGAAGGGAGGGTGTTAGTGTCCACATCTGTAGGTCCATGGAATTATGGGGCCAGACACGGTGTTGAGCGCTGGAAGTTCAAAGAGCTATGTTACCTGCCTTCTTTCAAGGAGTTTCCATTCAATGGCGGTGTGGGGGAGGGGAGGGAAGGAGGAGTCCCCAGCTGTGATGCAAAGCAGCTTCCAGCTAAGGCTTAAAAGATTTGATTCTATTACAGAGGCTTTAAAGAAATCAATGAGTAGGAATTTAAGTGCCTGTTCTGGGCACACAAAAATTAAAATGAAAATGGTCCCTGCCCTCTAGTGTACATAAATGAAGAGAAACAAAATGCTGGAAAGAGACTAGATCCATGATTCCATTGGTATCTAGAACTCCCGGATGAGAGGATTCCCTCCACCAATGTAGGTCAGCACCTTTTCTGTAATGTTGCCTAAAGCCAAGAGATTAGGCATCAACTTCTGGTAGATTGAAATGCTTCAGAGACTCCAGAACCCTGGGATTTGAAGAGGAAGAGAGGGTAGGCAGGAGTGCAGACCAAAGCAGGCCTTCTTGAAGGATTTCGCTTCTCTGAGAGCTTTCCCTTCCCTCCCTAGGGCTTGAGGCTCAACTTCTTCTCAGGCCAGCGATCTGAGGTTCATCTGGACAGACAGAGCTAGCCAGGTTGGAGAGGGAAGGGGTGCAACAGTAGGCATGCTGCGGCCAGGAGATCCTGCCTGCTGGAAGCTGGGGTTGGGTTATTTGCAGAAACCATTGCAGGCTGGGAAAGGGGAGGTGCAATGGGACAAGGGAGTCAGGAGACCTGGATTCTAGTCCTGAGCCTGCTACTAATTTGCTGTGTGGCCTTGGCTGAGTTGCTTCCCTTCTCTGGGCCAGTCTCCTCTTCTGTAAATCGAGAAGGTTGGACTAGAGGATCTGATCTCAGTTCTAAACCTGCAAGTCCGTGGAGGCCCTCTTTTCACTGAATTCATGGTCACCAGGGTTTCCAAGGGTCTTTCAGTGGTCCAGGGCAGCCGCCTTAAAGTTGGCAGATGAGCTCCCTCTAGTGGGATGCAGAGTGCTTGCAGGGGCCTTTCCATGGTTTCCCATTCTTTAGCATCCTTAGCTTTGGACCATGGATGCACCCATATATCATCAGTTAACTAGTTTTACATGAGTATGCCTTGTTCTTTCTCTTTCTTTCTTTCTTTCTTTCTTTCTTTCTTTCTTTCTTTCTTTCTTCTTTCTTTCTTTCTTTCTTCCTTCCTTCCTTCCTTCTTCCTTCCTTCCTTCCTTCCTTTTTTCTTTCTTTCTTTCTTTCTTTCTTTCTTTCTTTCTTTCTTTCTTTCTTTCTTTCTTCTTTCTTTCTTCCTTTCTTTCCTTCTTTCTTTTCTTTCTTTCTTTCTTTCTTTCTTTCTTTCTTTCTTTCTTTCTTTCTTTCTTCTTTCTTCTTTCTTTCTTTCTTCTTCTTTCTTTCTTTCTTTCTTTCTTTCTTTCTTTCTTTCTTTCTTTCTTTCCCCTCACCTATATCTCTTGTACCTCTGACAACACTTTGAGTAGTGTGTTCCACTCTGGACACCATATTTTAGGAAAGACATTGAGAAGCATGAGGGTATCCAGACAACAACTATGATAGTTCAGGGTCTGTAGATTTGTGCTCTAGTGTATCAAGAGTTGACCTCAGAGCCAGGAAGCCATGGGTTCAAATCCTGCCTCTGACACATCCTGGCTGTGTGTGTGGCCCTTAGTCTTTCAGTGCCCAAGACAACTCTCAAGGTCATGCCATATGAAAATCATCTGAAGAATGTTTAGCTTGGGGAAGAGATGAGAGCTGTGACTTAGAAGAGGGAATAGCTTTGTTCTGGCTGGCCACACAAGGCAGAATTAAAATCAATGAGTGGAAGTTTCACGGAGGTGCATTAAGGCTTGACGTCAGGAAAAGCTTCCTAACTATTCCAAAGTGGAGTGGACTGACTCAGGATGTAGTGAATTAGCCTCACAATTGTAGAGTTGTAGGGGCTTTAGAGACAGTGGGCCATAATGGAAAGAGCATTGTCTGTGCCATCAGAGGACCTGCCTCCCTTCCTTACTAGCTAGCCTCCTGAACACATCAATGTCTTTGAACACGTCAATCCACTTTCTGAAATATCTTTAAAATGAAGTGGTTTGGTCTGGGTAGGATCACAGATTGAGAGCTGGAACCAGCCTTGGATAGTATTGATTCTACCCTCTTCATTTTGCAAAGGAGGAACCTGAGATTCAGAGAGGCTATAACCAGGGTTATAGAGTTAGTGTCTGAGGCCCTTTGATCCCAAATCCAGTGCCTTCCTCTCCCTCCCCCCACACCATACCAAGAAAGGAATGGCTAAGGACCACCCAGGGAAGGTACCTTGGACATGGTAGGCAATTAGTATATATTTATTAAATTGAATTATTGAGGGAGGTATCCATACCCTCCCCTAGAAGGAGAGGCAGATAGAGTAAGGAAGGGAAGCTAGTGGTGTACAGAGCCTGGCTTTTGGGGAGTGGAACCCAGTGATAATTTTTTGGGAAAGTGGTTATCTACAAGTCTGTGAGATAGCCCCCTGGGTTGGTCCTTTTGCTGGTCTACTCCTTGGGAGATTTTGCTGAGTGAGATAAGAATAATCTATATGTAAGCAGACAGGCTAGGAGGGGAAACCCAGCATTAGGTTCTCAGGGGAGAGCAAATTTTCCCCATATTCATTTCAGGCTTCATATATCAAGGCAGTGGGGTTGCCTGGGGCTGAGGTCATGTTTGCTGGTCCTCTCTTAAAGCTGACCTGAGTTCTCAGAGTCCAAGCTCCTTGATAAACTTAATATTGGGGTGGAAAATCCCAGTGCAGGGTGGGTGAAGTACAGGATGACCTGGGGTCTTTTTGTGTGCTGGGTTAGCTTAAGATGGTTCCCCCATACTAGCTGAAAAGGAAACCAGAACTCATTTGGACAGTGATTGTGGCTGACGCAAGGAGATGAAGTGCCAGCCTTGAGCTCCAAAGTTCCCCCTGCCTTTCAGATACTCTTTTAGACTCACTTCTTTCTCTCAGCAGGGGAGATGCCTCTTCCCCTCATCTGGCTGACTTGTACTTACGAGACATGCCAAAGGACCAAATGGCTGGGGATCTAGGAAAGGACCAACAGAAGAGGTCTCCTCCCAGTATACCCTGAGCCATCCGCTGCACTCCACCATCCTCATCATGGGGCCAAGTGGATTGAATACTGGACTCAGAGTCAGTAAGACCTGGGCCCAAATCCTGCCATAGACATTCACCAGTTCTGTGACTCTGGGCAATTCAACTAATCTCTCTGATTTTCCATGTGTAAAATGAGAGCAATAACTCAATTGTTGTGAGATAAAAATGAGATATGGCAGGGGTGGGGAACCTGGGGCCCTGAGGCCCCTAACCCTAACCCCAACCCCAACCCCCCCTCCAGTTCTTTCCCTCTAAGATTGTCTTCCTGTCTTACTGTATATATCTCTTCCTACACAGTTGTCTGCATGGTGTTTCCCCCATCAGACTGTGAGCTTGGGGGCAGGGACTGTGTTCTTTGTGTCCCCAGCACTTAGCACAATGCTGGGCACACAGGAAGCACTTGATACGTGCTCTTTGACTTGACTTGATTTGGCAGTTCTCAAACTCCATTGGCCTGCTCTGCCTAACCCTCTCTCCCTATGTCCGTCCCCCCAGAAACAAGACCTGTGTGAACCCGGCTTCTACTACAATGAGTCTTCTGGGAGTTGCTGCTACCTCTGCCTCTCAGGTAAGGAAGGAACACCACACAGGTGGGAGCAGCCAGGAAGATGCCTTCCCTGGGGAGTCCTGGTCCCTAGCCCCTGAGTGTCTGGGAGATGCAGGATGCACTGAGAAGGCCTGACCAGATGGGGCAGGAGCATATTGAGTTCATCCCACTGATGTCCAGAGGGAAGCTTTGTATGTCCTCCTTTCTCTGAACTCAAAAACTTCTCCAATCCTACGTCTAGTCCTAGACTTCTGGAGCTGGCAGGGCCTTCCAAACAAGGTGAGGATGGGGCAGTGGCTTTAAACTGAACGAAACTTCAAGAGAGAAGTGGCCTTTGAGGGTCTCAGGAGGCTGGAATCAGTTCCACCAATGGCGACGAGATCACACAAATGCATGAGTCAGGGGGAGCTACCAGGAATGGTGAGCAGTCCAGACTGGCTAATACAGAGACACTCGAATGGGAAGCATGATGCAGATAACTCTGGACAAGTGTTTTGGAGCCAGAAGGATAGGATCAGCAAGTGTAGATTTCCTATAGACCAGTGATGTCAAACTCAAATAGAAATGAGGGCCATAGATAAGAGTCAGAAAACCACAAATTAACATTACGTTGCATTGTATTTTTATTTATTTTGTTAAACATATCCCCATTATGGCTTTGTGGGGCCTGCTAGGATGAGGTAGGAGTAGAGACAGCTGGCAAGTGGTCATTCAGACTCTGCTTAAAACCCAGTGACAGGGAACTCACTCCCTCTTGAGGCAGTGCTTTCCACTTTCAGAAAGCTCTAGGGATTAGAAACTTTTTCCTGACACCAAGCCTAAATTTGATCTCCTATTTCCTCTTTTTGAGGCCAAGCAGAAGCAGTCTAATCCCTATGGGAGAGCACTTCAGATACTTGAAGCCAACTCATGCCTTCAACCTTCTCTTCTCCAGATTAACCATCCTCATTTCCTTCAATTAGATAGGTGACTTAAGAGGAGAGGCAGGTTTGGGTTGATGGGAGAGGGGGAAGTGATGTGTTCTGTACCTGTATAGAGGCAGCTGGGTGGTCCAATGAATCTGGAAGACCTGAAGGTCAGATATGACCTTAGGTAGGTGATAATAATAACCCCTACCTCTTAGACTAGCTGTGTGACCCGGGTAATTCACTTAACAACTGTCTGCCTCAGTTTCCCCATCTGTAAAATTAGGATAATAGTAGCACCTACCTCCTAGGGTTGTTGTGATGATAAAAAGTGCTAGTATTTGCAAAGTACTTTGCAAATCCTGAAGAGCTGTGTAATTGCTGTCAGTTTTAAGGCTCCGTATCTCCCTCCTCCTGCCTAGTGCATTGGGCATGGCAGCCATTCAATGAGAGGCTGTGTTGCAGAATGGAAAGAATACCCATGTGGAGTCAGAGGCCCTGGGTTCAAATCCCAGCTCTGGTGCCTGCTAACTATGTAAGTCTGGGCAAGTCACTTCCCCTTTTTGGGCTGTGCTTCTGTTTCCTCCTGTGTAAACTGGGGAACTTGGACTTCATGAGTGTCTCTTGCTATTCAAAACCCTATCATAACGTCAATGCCAATTTAATGAGTGTGTGATGGTCATTGGCCCATTTTCTAGATGGCAAGACAGTGGACACAGTGGAAGTACAAAGTAGTAGTGTACCCTGTATTTTAGTAAACAAGCATTTATGGGATGTTCTAGGACTCTAGGTACTTAGGGTTATCTTCTGTGGAGTAGAGAAAAAACCCCTCCAACCAACCCTCCAATGGTCTCTGCCCTCTAAGGACAGACAATGTGATCCTTGGAGATAAGACAGATCGTATCAACACACGTCAGTATTTCAAAAGATCTCTGGTTTCATTGTGGGCTTTCCCTCCAGTGATGCAGATCACAGGTCACCAGCATACACCATGCCTCACTCGAGGGTCTCCCCGAGTAGCCAAGGCCTCAAAGTTGTGCTCAGTTCTGGGAACCCTAGTTTAGGAATGACTGAGAAACAGGAGGGTATCCAAAGGAGGACTTGCAAAATGGTGCAAAGCCTTGAGTTCATGCCATTTAAGGGACAGCTGAAGAAAATGTCAGTGTTTAGCCTGGAAAAGAGAAGGCAGGGTAAGAGTAGGGCAGAGAGAGATGAGTGCTAACCTCACGTCTTTGTTTTTTTGGCAATTGGGGTTAAGTGACTTGCCCAGGGTCACACAGCTAGTAAGTGTTATGTGTCTGAGGCCAGATTTGAACTCAGGTCCTCCTGACTTCAGGGCCGGTGCTCTATCCACTGCACCACCTAGCTGCCCCTAGCCTCAAGTCTTTAAAGGACTGGAAGGGGGCGGCGTTAGACTTCTCTTTGGTCTCAGAGTGCAAAACTTGGAGCAGTGAATGAAAGTCATGGAAAGGCCCATTTAGGCCAGATGTCAGGGAAAAAAACTTCCTAACGATGCAGGCTCTCCCAAAGTAGAAAGGCTACCTGGAGAGATATCGGGTTCTTCCTCACCTCTTCTAGGCGTGGGCTTCAAGTGGAGGTGGGCAGAATAACCACGTTAAAGGGTGATGTAAGTGGGGATTCTGAAGGTGGTGTTGTGTCTAGGACATGAGATGGGCAGACAGGAAGACCTGAGGTCAGTTTGCTAAATGTATTAGTCAGTCAGTCAACTAGCATTTATTAAGTGTGTACTGTGGGCCAGGCATTGTGCTAAACTCTGGGTATACAAAGAAAAGCAAAAGATAATCTCTGCTCTCGAGGAGCCAACAGGGAAGACAACATGCAAACCTCTCTCAGACTCAGTTTCCTTATTTGCAAAATGGGGGATAATAATAGCACTACTTCCCAGGGTTGTTATGAGGATTGTATGAGAGGACATATGTAAAGCTCTTTGCAAATCTTAGCTAAAGATCCTACTTATTATTGTTTTTATTATTATTAATAACAACCCCACCCTCACAAAGTTGTAAAATAATGTGTAAACTTTAAAACTCTATGTAAATGCGAGCTGTCACTATTTAGGTGCATATTAAGATGTTGGATTGTAAGCTCCTTGAGGGCAGGGATTGTCTTTTCCCTCTTTTTATGCACTTGGAACATAGTAGGAATTTAATAAATATTTATTAACTGATTGATTGCCTTCAGGGCCCTCCCAATGTCTGCTTCTATGAGTCTTTGAAAAAATTCATTCACTGTCTAGTCTCCTTGTAAGGAACCCCAAGGCACTTAACAAGGTCGATTATAGGCTCTCTCTAGAAGTCCTTCCAGTTTGAGAGGCCCTCTCACAGTTTGTATTCTGCATGACTTTTAAATGCAATTCAATTCAGTTCAACCAGTATCCACGGAGCACCCACTGGGGGTTAGGGTCCTGAGCTGGGCAATCATTGTGTGTGTGACGATAGAAGAACACCAGCTCATCTTGGTCTGAAGGCTTTCAGGTTGTAATTTCGGTTAATTTCTGCATGTTGTCTGTCACTGCTCCTGCTTTCCCTGTGCTAGAACCACAAACCATGCAATGCTGCCATACCTAGCTCGAAAAAGGGTGTTAGTCAGCTCTCCTGGGGCTCTCCTCACTTCCCTGGAGCTTCCCTGACCCAAACGCTGCTCCCTCCTTTCTACGCCACTCCCCATATAGGCTGTTTCCCCCTATTAAAGTTGAAGCTCCTTGAGGGCAGGGATTGTTTTTTTTTTCTCTTCAGTATTTAGTACAGTGCCTGAAACATAGTAGATACTTAATGTTTTGGGGGGTTTTTTTCCCCTCCAGTCATTTATTTATTTAATTATTTAATTATTTATTTATTGGTATTCATTCAAGGTGAAGGTGTATCATGGATATTCAGGTCCTCCTGGAAATTCTCTAGAGAGTTTCTGGTACCGTGGAAAGATCATTGGAGCTAGAAGCAAAGGGTCTGAGTTCAAATCATGCTTATGCCACTTGTTGCCTGTGAGATCTTAGGCAAGTAAGTTCCTCGAACTCCTCTGGGCCTGTCATCTGTAAAGTTAAGGGAGTCTGACTAGACAGCCTCTTATTCCCGGGGTAGCCAGTGTACTCTGGGATCACCATTCCAGAGTCAAGCTGACTGTGGGTGCTTCTGCACTCTCTCCACAGCAGCCTGCTGGTCAGGAAGACTTTCTAGCACTCTCACCACAGTCTTCCAAAGCAATGGGTTTGCTTACACCTGCCATGGAGGGTTTCCTGGCCTCTCAAGGCGGCTCTTGGAGGAGGAGGATGATGGTGATGATGATGATGATGATGATGATGACAATAGCTAACATTTACATAGTGCTTACCAAGTGCCAGGCACTGTGCCAAGCACTTTATAATTATTGTCTCATTTTATCCTCAGAACATCCCTAGGAGGGAGGTGCTATTATTACCCCTGTTTTACAGATAAGGAAACTGAGGCAGGGAGTGATCAGGTGATTTGCCCAGGGTAACACAGCTGGTAAGTGTCTGAGGCTGGATTTGAACTCATGTCTTCATGACTCCAAGCCCAGTGTTCCATCCACTGTGCCACCTAGCTGGCCTATAGTTACTTTCTTCCATCACTCAGACTACATAGCAGTTGGCTTGCCTGACCCTCAGCACCCACTCCCCACACCTTCCAGCTACCCCCTGCTGCCTGACACCCTAGAACAACATTACCCCCAGGCTGACGCTCTATGAACAATGATAACCTATCTGAACTCATTCCTCAATGATTGACATACCTCTTCCCCTATCCCAGTGATTCTGGACCCCCATCTGCCATCATTCAAATCCCATTCTTAGGACTCCACTGGCTATTTCCTTATTTCTTTCCCTCTTTACCCAAGCTCTCCAATGCCCCCACTCTAAGGCTGTCCATCCCAGGTAACAAACTTGCTCTCCTCTTACATCTTTTCCTTTTTCACTCCATCCATATTCTTGCCCTCACTGAGACCTGGTTCCCTTCTGATGACAGTCTCGCTGGCCTCCCTTTCCATCACTTGATGCACTTTCACTCATAGCCCCCAGTTCACCAGCAGTGGTGGGGGAGTTGGAACATTCCTTGTGCCCCATTGCCATTTTCAGGCTCC